TTCTTCCTCTGGATTTTGACATATGGTGGTTAGGAAGTTCTTTCCCCCCCTTGAGTCTAATCATGGGTCCTGGCAGCTTCTGCCCACTGGGTTTTGTTTTGCCTTCAGTAACTTCACAGCAACTTCTTACAATGACAGCTCCTTCAGATATTTGAAGATGTTCCATCCTAGACTTTCTCCTCCGTCATCCTGGCAAACCTTCAGACCTCTGTGGATGACTTTTAACGAGATTACCAGACATCCCACTGTATAGCCAGGGATGCTGTACATCCGGGGTCACTTTCCTGGGCATGGCCGAACTGGCCTCCTCACTTCCACCGGGGTTGCCCAGCCTCTCATGGAGGGGTGATGTCTCATTAGACATCCCTCTCTCTGTAGCCAGCAGCACGTCTAGTCCCCAGATCCCACAGTCCCTTCCTCTGAAACTGGCCCATTATTTCCCCTACACTGTGTACACTCAGGCTGTCTTGTCGGAACCCCTTATTTTCAACTGGGGACTGTGAGGCCACCGGCTTAGAAAGCAGGTCTCTAGACTCCCATCTCAGTGCTCCCTCAGCCAGACAGTCAGGATGGGGTAGGGGTGAGGGGTAGGAGTGTGCTGGGCCGTCACCCAGAGGCAGCTTAAGGAGGCCTTGAGCGAGGCCAGGGATTGTGTTTTCTGAACCTGGTTCCTGTTCCCCAAGCCCGGGCGGGAGGAGAGTTTGTAAACTCAGACGTTATGGAGTTGGCCAGGCAGGGCAGGGAAGCCCAGGGCCCAGGGGGGAAGCCCGGTGTTTGCTTGTCAGCTTGGAAGTCTCCTCTGTTTACTGGACAGCCTGGACCCTCTCTGGGGAGATTCCACTGCCCTGACTATGCTTTAGGGAGGAGGTCTCTTTCCCTGGGCTTTGGAGGAAGGGCTGGATTTGGGGTGTAGTCAGAGAAAGCTGGGGGATAAGCTGGCACAGGGAGCTTTGCTGACTTAGTGGGGTAGGAGAGGCAGGCTTCGGGGGGCAGACTAGGCCTGAGATGATGGGGCTTTAGGGCTTCCTGCCTGCCCACCCTCCCAGACAGGCCTTAAATTGAACCCCGAGTCCCCTCCCTGCTTCTCCTCCTATCCTAGGCCTTGGCCGCTGCAGTTGACGTGGGACTGGGTCCCCTCCCTGGAATGTCTGTGACAGAGATCATTTGGAAGGCCGCCAGCCAGGGGCAGAGATGGGAAAACGGGGGAGGAGAGACCTCAGAATAGGAGGGGACTCGCCTGCCCCTCCTTGTGGGATGGGGGACACTGGGTCAAGTCCAGAGCTGGACCCTCAGCCTACCGCCCCCCGCCCCCCTCCCCTTCCCCAGCCGAAGCTGGAAGCATGGCTTCCAGATTGAAGTGTCTGGAATATCAGAACCCAGGTCCTGCTGCCTTGCCCAGCCACCAGGGGGCACTGCTGCTCTCTTGTACCCACTCCTGACTCCACCACCCTCTCTGCTCTCTGGTCTCTGCTCTGGGCTTTATATCTGCTCCGTCCTGCCTCCTTACCGTCTTGACAAATAGTCTGTCTCCTTGAATTCTGACACAATCTAAAACTTCAGAAAAGTGGCAAATACAGTGCAAAGAACTTTTTTTTTTTTTTCCTGAGCTATTTGAGGGTAAGTTGCTGACACATTGCCCTATCACCCCTGAATACTTCCCTATTTTCCTACAGGGACTTTCCCTACCTAACCCAACATAGCCATCCAAGCCAGGAAATTGACATTGATGCGTGACCTTCTCATCCTCAGACACCACTGAAGTTTGGCCAGTTGTCCTAATGATGTCCTTTGGGGGCGTGGAAAGAATCCAGTTCAGAATCAGCCGTGGCATTTGGTTGTCATGTCTCCTTAGTCTCCTTCAGTCTGGAAATCTCCTCAACCTTTCCTTGACTTTCGTGACCTTGTCACTTTGGAATATTATAAGCCACTTAATTTGTGGACTGTCTCTCCACTGGGTTGGTCTGATGCTTCCTCATGACTAGATTTAGCTTGTGTCTCTTTGGCAGGAGTATCGCAGAGGTGACGTTCTGTTCTCACCCCCTCCGTGGCACACAATCTCCACTCATCCTGTTACTGGTGACGTTAGCTTTGATCACTTGATTAAAGTGGAGTGTGCCAGGTAAAGTTACTTTTTTCCCTTTTGTAATTTATAAGCATGATGTGGGGAGGTGCTTTGAGACTCGTAAATACTCTGTTCCTCGTCAGACTTTGTACTCACTTATTTCACATATCAGTATGGACTCATTTAAGCCATTACTATCATTATGTATTTTGATGCTCAGATCTTCCCAGATCTGAGGAGCCCCTTCAAGCTGGCTCCTGTGTCCTATTGTCTGTCTGTCCGCCTTTGATCCTCTGGTTCCCTTTATAGTCTCTGTGTGTTTCTATCTAATCTCTCTTATTCTCTGTGTGTGCTTGTTTGTCTCTGTCTTTGTCTCTGCCTTTATCTTGGTCCTCTTTTTTTTCTTCTCTGTCTGACTGTTGCTGTTCCCTGTCTTTCTCTGCCTTCTCTCTCTGTCTCTCTTTGTCTTTCTCTCTCTTGTCTCTGTCTCTGACTCTTTCTGTCTCTCTCTCCCCCTCTACTTCTCTCTCTATCTCTTTGCCTCTTTTCCTACTGGCTTTCTCTCTTATTTTGTCCGTTTTTCTCTCCGTGCCTCTCATGGTTCTGTCTCTTTTGCCCAGGACTCACCACTACAGAATCTTCAGCTGGGAGTCCTGGACATGCTGGGTTTGTGGGATGCTGCCACCCGTCCTCTGAACACGCAGAGTGGGGAGGCTTGGACCAGGGTGCTAGGAGGGGGACTTGGAGGAGAAGAACCTTCTCCCTGGTCTGTGATCATGTCTGTGTGTGTCCATGCATGTGCAGAGGGCATTGGAAAGCTCTGTACCTTTGGCGGGTGGGGCGCAGGCTGCAGAAGCGTCGGTGTCTGTGCTCTGCTGCCCCCTGCTGCTGGAGCCGGGAAATGAATCCAGTTATAGGTACCAGGGTGAGGTGCCTCGGAGAGGAATGGTGCCTGCAGGCAGGGCAGGACTTCCCGGGGAGTCCTCTGAATGGGGAGCCTTCCCAGCATGTGCCTGGGCTGGGGGCTGCGGGTGGGAAGAGGGTGGTCCTAAGCAGCGTGGATGCAGGACTTTGCGGCTTAGACTGTGTTCAGATGTGTGATCACAAGCGGTGTGGGGCCCAACCTCAGGGTGTCTGGAGGGGGCAACTGAGGCCCCTGTTAGTGGTGGGGTGGTGGCTAGCCCCGGGATCGCGGCAAGCCAGACACGGAGAAGGCTTGGACTGCCAGCCCGCCTCTCATCCCATGTGTGTGGTGGTGTAGTTTTTAAAATTTTTTTTAACATCTTTATTGGAATATAATTGCTTTGCAATGTTGTATAACAAAGTAAATCAGCTATACATATACTTATATCCCCATATCCCCTCCCTCTTGTGTCTCCCTCCCACCCTCCCTATCCCACCCCTCTAGGTGGTCACAAAGCACCGAGCTGAGCTCCCTGTGCAATGTAGCTGCTTCTCACTAGCTATGTTTTACATTTGGGAGTGTATATATGTCCATGCCACTCTCTCACTTCATCCCAGCTTACCCTTCCCCCTCCCCATGTCCTCAAGTCCATTCTCTACGTCTACGTCTTTATTCCTGTCCTGCCCCTGGGTTCTTCAGTACCATTTTTTTTTTTTTGAGATTCCATATATATGTGTTAGCATATGGTGTTTGTTTTTCTCTTTCTGACTTACTTCACTCTGTATGACAGACTCTAGGTCCATCCACCTCACTACAAATAACTCAATTTCATTTCTTTTTATGGCTGAGTAATATTCCATTGTATATATGTGCCACATCTTCTTTATCCATTCATCTGTCGATGGTTACTTAGGTTGCTTCCGTGCCCTGGCTATTGTAAATAGAGCTGCAATGAACATTGTGGTACATGACTCTTTTTGAATGATGGTTTTCTCAGGGTATATGCCCAGTAGTGGGATTGCTGGGTCATATGGTAGTTCTATTTTAGTTTTTTTTTTTTTTTTTTTTTTGCGGTATGCGAGCCTCTCACTGTTGTGGCCTCTCCTGTTGCGGAGCACAGGCTCCGGACGCGCAGGCTCAGCGGCCATGGCTCACGGGCCCAGCTGCTCCGCGGCATGTGGCATCTTCCCGGACCGGGGCACGAACCCGTGTCCCCTACATCGGCAGGCGGACTCCCAAGGGAAGCCCTGGTGGTGTAGTTTTAAAAAGGATATTTAACCTGTTGATATTTTCATAATGTAAAGAATAGTAAATAAAAATAAAGATGGAAGAAGCCTTCTGGGCTGGAGCACGGGGTGGTAGTGAGGGTGAGAGAGAGAAAGCTGAGGGGCATGGCACTCGGGGACATGGGTAAAAGGTCGCGGGCCATCAGCAGTAGGATGGAGGAATGAGTCAGTTGCATGCACACGGTGGAGTACCATGCAGCGGCACAAAGGAGGAGCTGCTGCTGTGTGAGCACAGGGATGAATCTCCCACATTCTTGCTGAGTCAGAGAAGCAGGCACGGGAGTATATACTGTATAACTCCATTCATATGAAGCTTAAAAACCTGTCAAAATGGATCTTCGGTGACAGAAGTCACAGCAGTATTTGCCTTGGGGTGATATTGGCTGGGACGCCACGAGGGAGCCTCCTGGGCTGTGGGTCCGTGGGGCATACGCGTGTCAAACCGTATTGAGCGATACACTTAAAATGAGTGCACTCTGCTGATAAACTAAATCAGAAAAGTGATTAAGAATCCATGCAGGGGGCTGGGGTTTTCGACTGTTGTCTGACCCCACCTCTGACTGGGAGTCTGGGTCGCACCCACAGCATTCTCTTTCCCTGGGCACCTCCTCCCATAAATGGGCTCGGGCCTTTCACAGCTGAAGGGGCTCTCACCTCTCCTTTCCCCCAGTGCTTGCCTGCTTCTCCCCTGGTCCCCTGGCTCTTTCCCGAGGAGCCCGGCCTGATCACTCTGCCTCTCCTCCCACAGCCAGAGGACCTGGAGGCCCCCAAGACTCACCACTTCAAGGTGAAGACCTTCAAGAAGGTGAAGCCCTGTGGGATCTGCCGACAAGTCATCACCCGGGAGGGTTGCACCTGCAAAGGTGAGCAGCTGGCTGGGCCACGGGGGATGGGGAGCACGTCTTCACGGGAGTGAGGTGCCCGAGGCCCGGGTCAGGCTGGGATGTCCTTGGGGTCCTGACTTGGCGCCCGGTTCTCATTTGGGAGGGGATGCTGGGCACACGGATAGCAAGCATGTGGGTGTGTGTGGATGGCACATGGCAGGCGATGGGTGGCATGGAAATGGCATGTAGCTTATGTGTGGATGGCGTACAGGTGGCATGTGAATGGCTTAGGGAAGACATATGGATATTATGTGGTGGCAGGTGGATGGTGAGTGGCTGGCGTGTGGAGGGCGTGTGAGGGGGTATGGTTGGCCTGCAGATGTCATGTGGTTGGCACGTGGATGGCGTGTGGTCGGCACGTGGAGGGCCTGTGGAAGGTGTGTGTGGGGGTGTGTGCCTGGCACTAGGAGTACTGCAAAGATGCCAAGCCGTGGTCCTGCCCTTGTGGCAGCTTAGGGGTGAGTTTAAGAGGCCCCCAGTTAGCCTCGGAGGAGGGCCTGCTCAATGGCAGGCTTTTGTAATCCCCGTTCTCATGTGCTCCTGGAACGGCCTGGGCTTGGCTGTCACGGCTGCCGGAGGAGTTGGTGTCTTGCCCCAGGTCACACTGTGAAATCAGAAGGAGGCCTCTGCACCCAATCTCAGCGACTGACACCATCACCCGCCCAGTTGCCCCACCAGATGCCTCCCTCTCTCTCACCCCCACCTCCCATCAATCACCAGCACTCCCCCCTCCATACAGCTTGAGTCGCTGAGCCTCTCTGCAGCCAGTTCAGGCTGCCGACACCTCTCACCCGTGCAGCTGACAGCTGTCCCTCTGCCTCTGGCATCCTGACCCACCCTCTCAGCCCACCCCCGCACCAGCTTCCGGAGGGCCTCGATGTCAGGTCCCCGGGTTTAGCCTTGGGAGCCCCTGCTCCCTGAAGACAGCGCACACCCCTTCCTGCGGCTGCGCGGCCTGGTGTTGGAGGTTGGAGAGGGTGGATGGAAGTGTGTGTGTGTGTGTGTGTGTGTGTGCGTGTGCATGTGGGGGGCATTCCAGGCAAAGCCTTTCGGGCCAAGGGCAGAATTTTATGGTCCTTAATTGCAGGACTGGGACACACCCAGACTGAATTTAGGGGGCCCGACAGGAATTTATGCCATACCAAAATTAACCACATGGTGGCACCCTCCTCCCAAGAGTCCTGGCTGGCGCGGGTGGTGGTTTCGGGTCGGAGCTGGGAGAAGCCCGGGGGGCGTTGCCTAGGCTGGGGTTTTGCCTTTTGCTTCCGTCACCACCTCCACCTCATCCCGTCCCTTGAACCTGCTCATGTTAGCCCCCCCCCCCGCCCCGTTCCTTCCTTCCTCCCCCAATGCACCTTCCCTTCCCCCCAGTGACTCTGACACAGCTCTGATAGGAGGCAGCACAGGGCTGGGGGCGTAAGGAAGTCCGGCACTCTCACCGCGTGACCTTGGGCACATCTCTGGCCGCATATTCTGTGATCGTCTGTGGTCCTAACTTCCCCAGATGACCTGGCTTGAGGGCCTGGGTTGAGGAGGGGATTTGACCCCATGTGCATGGAAGGCTCCCAAGGCGAGCAGAGATGACCCCGGTCTCACCTGGTTCAGAGCCTGGCCCTGCTGGTGTGAACCAGAGTGGAGGGTAGGTGGCCAGTGGGCTGCCAGGCTGGGGTGGCCGCTCTGGGTGAGTTAGTGGGAAGAAGAGGGAAAAAAGCCAGGGCCACTCTCCAGAGGCACCACCTGGTGTCAGGACTGGACCATGGAAGGACCAGGGACCCCCAGCCCCACAAGGGAAGACAGAAGACTCCCAGCTATACAGGCCACATGTGTATCCCCAGCAAGAGGGTTGGGGTCACTAGGCTTGGGGGCAGGGTTGGGGCCACTGGGCTTACTGGTGGGAGATGCAGGAGTGTGCCAACTTTCTGTGCTTTGGAACCAGGAGGTTGTGGTGGCATGAGATCCCCCTTATCCTTCCCTCTCTCCCTTCCTCCATCCATCCATCCAGGGCCACCAGATATAGCTGTACAGGTTGTTCTCTGGCTGAGGGGGCCATTCACCAAGGCCAATCCAAAGGGTTTGCTGTGCTCTTGTTTCCTCTTCCAGTCTTCAAGTCTCCGGCTGCACCATGGTGACCCTCTGGATTAGTGGCTGGGGGTTCTGGGTCGAATGTCAAGGCCCTGCATTCACAGTCTCCATGGGGCTTGCAAAGCTGAGGGAATTTTGCTGCAGACAGGGGCAGTGAGGACACCTTCCCAGATCTAGAGAGAGTGGGGCATTTGTCCTGTCTCCCACTGGCTGCCGTACCCCATAGCTCCCCATCCTACTGCATTTCACTGTTTAATGGACTATGGCTGAAGGGGGTGGGGTGGGAGACGGGGTCGGGAAGAGAGTCAAGGAACCTGGGGTCTAGTTCTGGTTCTGGGAGACTCAAAGGCGAACAAGGCAGACAAAGAACGAAGGTGTGTGGACATGTGGGTGTAAGCGTGACGGAATATACAGGCAAAGAGGTGGTCGTGAGACTGCGGCTGGCCTGTTTCCTTCTGTGTATCGCGGGGTTAATAGTAAACCCTGTCCTCGTCTTTGAGGGGGTGCTTGTGAGGAGCACTGAGGTTCTGTGTGTGGCTGTAAAGTGAGCACTAGTGTCAGGACAAAGGCTCCCTGTGCGGAGACAGAGACGGATGAGACAACTGGAGGAGAAGAGGCCTGGGGCCTTTGTCAGTGGCCCAGCCTCGAGTTCTGGGCCTGCCACTCACAGGCCAGGTGACCTCAGATAAATCCCTTCACCGCTTGAACCTCAGTTTCCTCATCTATAGATAAAGGGTTGGACCAAGAATATCTACTGAGGGCTTCCCTGGTGGCGCAGTGGTTGAGAATCTGCCTGCCGACGCAGGGGACACGGGTTCAAGCCCTGGCCTGGGAAGGTCCCACATGCTGCGGAGCAACTGGGCCCGTGAGCCACAACTACTGAGCCTGCACGTCCGGAGCCTGTGCTCCGCAAGAGGAGAGGCCACGATAGTGAGAGGCCCGCGCACCGCGATGAAGAGTGGACCCCGCTTGCCACAACTAGAGAAAGCCCTCGCACAGAAACGAAGGCCCAACACAGCCAAAAATATATAACTAAACAGACCAATGAACCAACAACAACAAAAAAGAATATCTACTGGGGCCCAGACTATGGGGGTCCTGGAGAATTCCCTTGTTGGAGTCTGGAGAGCCTGGATAACTCTCCCAGTATAGGCTGCCACTCCACCCCTTGTGTGTATGTGTGCACCCATCTGACAATCATGAACCTCTGGGCTGGATGCCATGCCAGGTACTGGTGCCAAGACCCAGCCCCTGACCTGGGAAGACAGACATGCTGTCAGTCAGAGAGCCCGGTGGCAAAGCTGACACAGAGGTGTGTGTGTGAAAAGCTGTCTCTGACTCAGCAGAGATTTTCCTGTCAAGCTTCAGGAGGGAATCCATATGTAGGCTGGGTCTTGAGGGATGTGTAGGAGTTCCTCAGTTCAAACAGAGGGTTTCCCACAGGTCTCTGGGAGCAGTGCTCTAGGGAGTCTAGGGCCTTGCCCAAGGGCCCTAGCCTCCCACCAGGCTGAAACCCAAGGGAAGAGACCAGAATGCCAGCTCAAGGGCCCAAGGCCTGCCATCTGGATCTGAATTGGGGCCCAGACTTAGAGCACTCGCCTTCTTAATGTTTCTGGTCAGCTTGGAAGGCGGGGGCAGTTACCTGCAGTTGCCCCAGGGTAGAAACTTGCCTTAATGGGAGAAGTCTATCTAGAAAATCTCACTAGTTGGATTTGGGGAAACCTTGTTTCAGGGAGCTTTCTCTTTACTGGGGATCCCAGCTTCTACCCTGTGTCTGAGTCACTCCCTTCTTGGAGTCACTGGAAGCAGCCTGGTAGGGTGGGAAGATGCTGTTTTCCAGTCCTGGCTTCCCCCTGCGTGGTTGTGTGACCTTGGGTGAGACAATTAACCTCTCTGGGCCTGGTTTTCCTGGTTCTCTAAATGAGGGGTTGGACTAGATCAGAGGTTCTTAACCATGTTCCAAAGGAGCTGTAGGGTTCTTTCGGGGCCCGAGGGGGTAGGAAAAAGGGGGAAATCCTAGGGCCGGCTTAAGGACCTGGGTCCCTGGAACCCCTGCCCACTTTAATCAGAGCAGCTCTGGTTTTAGGAGTTAAATATATCAGGAAGCAGGATGGTGTGGGGGTCTTGCACTTGGCTCAGACATCCTAGATTCAAATCCCAGCTCTTACCAGTGAGAACTGAGGCAGACTGTTTCACCTTTCTGTGCCTTAGTTACCTCACCTTTAAAACGGGACAGACGGCAAACCTCCCGCCTTGGGCTACCGTGGGGATTACCTGAGATAATATATGTAAAGTGCTCAGAACAGATCCTGGCACATAACAAGCATTCAGTAAGTGCCAACCAATATCACTGAGATTCCATGTAAGAGTCCAGCTGCATCAGGATTTTGGCTGCCAAAATAAGAGCTTGAAAACCACTGGATGGGATGACCTAGAAGGTTTCTTCGTGCTTCAACTTCAGAGCCACACCATACCCACTCCCCCGCGACCACCCCCAGAGTCACCTTGCATTAGGGTTCTCCAGAGAAACAGGACAACAGGATAGATAGGTAAGTAGGTAGGTAGGTAGATAGACAGATATTCATTATAAGGAATTGGCTCACATGATTGTAGAGACTTGGCAAGTCCAAAATCTGCAGGGCAGATGGTCAGGTGGGAGACCCAGGGAGGAGTTGCAGTTCAAGTTCAAAAGCTGGCAGAATGCCTTCTTGCTTGGGGAGATCAGTCTTTGTTGTTCAGGCCTTCAACGGATTGGACGAGGCCCACCCACATATGGGAGGGAATGTGCTTTACTCAGAATCTACTGATTTAAATGTTCATCTCGTCCAAAAAACATCCAAAAAACAAACCATTCACAGAAACATCTAGAAGAATGTTAAACAAATCTCTGGGTACCA